TTTTTTTTTTTTTTTTTTTTTTTTTTTTTTTTTACTCAAAAGTTGGATGATAAATCTTTGCCCAGTTTCTCGGGTACTCTCCCCCTTTTAGGGCCTCCTTCTTCTTCCAGACACGGTCTCTCACACACACCCTATGAAGTAGCTGCACTAGACTTTGACTGAAGCAGGACCTTTTCGTGTTGGATTCTTTTCAAAACATCCTGTCCTTCATTTGAGCGTTTTGCGTTACAGCCAAACATACAAGCAAGTCCCCACACAGCCCAAGACTAGCGGCAGACTCTCCCCCTCATTGTTTTTTTTATTTTTTTTTCCATCTTACCTTTTTATAGTGTGAGCAAAGGCAGCCGGTCAGATCCCGGTTGTTTCCTGGAGATATTCCCCTTTTTATAATCCACCTCAATCTCAAATTTGAGATTATTATTGAAAGTGGTTCTTTAAAGGTTAGAGAAAGAGGGCCGCCGTGTGGAAACCGAGCAGCTCGGAGCTCTCTCTGCAGAGCTATGCGCTGCCCGGCGAGCCTCTGCACACTCTGAACATCTGCTCATTTCACGTGACTTTTTTTTAAAAATACTAACATCTGTTCTAAATAGGTTTCATTCTGAGCCTCTGCATCGTGTCAGTTGCCAACTCCTCTCTTCTGAGAGAAGGGGAAGGAACGGTTTTTCTTTTTTTTTTTTTAACATTGCACGAGGGGCTGCAATTGAAATGCTTTCAAAAACAATGAACTTTTATGCCACCAAAACCTCTCAGAATGTGTTCGTTTGCCTGAGATGAATTCCCAGCCACTCTCTCAGTCCTGACCCGTGTGCTCTGCTCTGTGTTTGTGCCTTTACGTACCGACTTTCTAGCCGCGCACCTTCGCGGCCTTCTTGGGTTTCATAGACATCTGGGAATTCCATACATGCCTCGCGAGCCAATTACACACCTACAACCGCGCGCGCACTTTGATTTGGACCGCGAGGAACATTTTCCCAGATCAGCGGAGATCAATCACTACGCGATAACAGTGGGCTCTGAAAGATTTATTTACTGACAATAATCGGGAGTGCCATGTTTGTCAGGGGTGTTGCGCATGAGGATCGCCAGGTTCACACGTAAAAAAAACCCAAAACAAAACAAAAAACCTTGGTGCTGCTAAAAACTTACATGCAGGATGAAATAAAGCTCCTGAACGTTCAGCAAGAGGCTGAAGGAGTCACTACCAGGCTGACATGACCTCAGTATAACTTACTTATAAAAGAGAGCTGCAGGCACAGACTTTAATCCAACTGTAAACACAGCGAGGAAAAGAGAGACTGGGAACGCTTTTAGATATTTAATTAAAATGTAATTCTGTAAAAGCAGGGATTTTTTTTTTAGCTGCAGTCTGCCAATACTTTAATAAAACGCCTCCTAAATTTAATCTTTTTTTTTTTCAAAAAAAGAAGAAGAAGCTCTATGAGGAACCTATCAATTTTTTTTTTATTTTCAAATTCTGCGCCAATAGTAGATAGGTTTCTTTCTAACTATTTTGCACTGGAAAGCAACCAAGTGCAAACCCAGTGATGTATACAATACAGCTCATGTTGTGTCATTCATTTTTATCCAAGTACGCAATTGTAAGCACATTGCACAACAGGCATGCATGAAATCTTCAAAATGTATATACCATTTTTCTGAGAATTATCGTATAAATTAATATAATAAAACTTGGGGGTAAAAAAAACATCAAAGTGATATTTCCCATCGTCTTTTTCTTTATTGCAAAAACATATACAAACATTTACAGAAAACAAGGTAATATAAAAAAATGGAATTAGTTTATTTATTTATTTTTACTTCTTTTTCCATTCCAGACACAGGATTTATTTCTCAAGGCAACAGGTTTCACCAATAAATAAATAATTGCATTCTGAAAGTTCTCTTTATCTCTGTCTTTCTTTTTTTTCTCTTTTCTTTCTTTTTTTTTTGCACAGGTTAATTCCACAAAGTCAGCCGTGAGTCATGTAATTTGATCTCCACAGAAATAAGTCCAAACGTATGCATTCAACAAAGTAAAGAAAGAAATAAAAACGACATATATTTGTAACATTCGCCAACAACATGAAAGCTCATTAAAATGGGGCCCCAGCAATGGGGGCCTCTTCCTCTCTCCACACACACACACACACACACACACACACGCACGCACACACACCTACACACACGTGTGTATATATATATATATATATATATATATATATATATATATATATATATATATATATATATATATTCCTCATGCATGCAGAGCCACAGAGTCGTCTTTGGTTTGGTTGATCCCATGTTTCCAGCATTGGACTCCTCCAGAATGTCCCTTCAGAATTTGATAAGTAGATTCAGCAGTCACCTGTAGGTTAGACAACCGGTTATTTACCATGAAACTTTGCAGAGAGGCAAACTAAGCTTTGAACTACTGGATTATTAGGTTGCATAATATTTTCTGAATACTTGGCAGCACTTTTTATTTTTATCTATTTATTTTTTTAGTTATGAGTCATGCATATTAGTAGAACAAAACTTAAGCGTACCATTTTGGGCAAAAATAATAATAATAAAAAAATTAAAAAAAAAAAAAAAGTCTCCAGATGTTAGTGAGATGTAGACATGGACCAAGCTCCCTCCATCCTCCACACGGAGAAGGCATAGCTCAGCCTCTCATGAGCCACATAGCTGCAGCTTGACATCTTGGAGTCCAGCTCGTCGCTCTGCAACACCTGGCAGAGGAAGTCGATGTACCTGGCAGCGAGTTTTAAGGTCTGTATTTTGCTCAGTTTGTCCGAGGGCAGCGTGGGGATAATCTTCCGCAGGGCCGCGAACGCCTCGTTTAGGGACTGGGTCCTCTGTCGCTCCCGGACGTTGGCCATCACCCGCTGCGACTGGAGCTCCTCGAAGGACTGGGGGCTGCTGCTGCCGGACTTCTTCCCTCGTTTCCCCGGTGTCGGGCTGTCCGAGTCGTCCCCGCTTTTCCTGCTCGTCCTCCGCTTCCTCCCGCCGCCTCTCTTGGGCTGCCTGTCCGGCTCCCCCTCGCTGTTGCTCAGGCTGTCCACAGGAGAGACGGGGGAGCTTCCCGACTCTTCCCCGAGATTTTCCTCAGACATCTCCCACCTGAGAAGACGTAGGGCCAGAGAGGGGTCCGAGAATTCACTCCCCTCTCATGAGAAGTCTGGGAGATGGTCCACCTGAAGATCCACCGCAAAACAATCCATAAATAGGTTCCTTTGAGGAAAAAAAACCCTCTTCTGTTAGTTGAGAAACTTAAGAACTTCTTATAGGCTACATGTAGTAAACTTTTTTTGTTGTTTGGGCGAACATGATTGGCTGAGAAGTTGAAATACGCGAATTGAGGGGCGGGAACATCCGAGAAACTGTTTGAGAAGCTCTGCACAAAGCTCAAGTTTCTTTGTTAAACTTTTTAGAAATGCATCTTAATGTGGCAAAAAATACAAATTTAGAGGGGAAAAACAATAATTGACAAAATGAATGTTGTGTGTTTGATGAGTTAATTCCACACAACGTGATGTGTTTCAAGCCTTTATTTAGGTTCATTTAGAATGATTCTAGTTTACAGCTTATGGAAATCAAACCAGAGGAGTAAACAAACAAAGATTATCGTATGTGTTGTGCAATCATGGTGAAGACTGCTGACTGGACAGCTGTCCAGCAGATAGTCACTGACACCCTACGGGTAAACAACAAAAGGACATTACTAGCAAAGCTGGACATACACACATTGCGTAGATATTTGTGGAAAGTTGAGTGGAAGGAAAAAGTGTAGTAAAAAAAGGATGGGCAAGCAATAGGGATAACTGCAGAGCTACTGGAAATGGACAGTTGGTCAGATCTTTTGTATGAATGAATGGATCCATGCAGTGTGGCAGGAAGGTGTGGCACTGCTGAGATGTTGATGATGCCTGTTTCTTTTTTTTGCAATTTTTTTTATCATCTTATCTTGACAATAGCCTACCCAATATATTATCCATGAGGTTAGGTTAGTAAGTTTGCTGGAGAATCAAATACCATAATGCCATGGTTACACATTCATGTTCGGACACTTTTTTCAGTGACTACTCTTTGTGGTTCCTGATTCAGGAGCAGCTTAACACAAGGAACATAACCGTTTTAGCCCGCTTAACCTTTTAAGCGATAGGCGACGTGTTCAAGAACATGGGGTGGAGTGAAAAAGGAAATCAATATTTTCCTGCAACAAAAATTTGGAGAAGTTTAAAGCAGGTTTAGGTTTTAAAAAGAAAGCTAAAAACTTTGAGCATTTTCTAGAGCGTACTGGAAAGTGCGCAGCACCACGGCAAACCTACCAAGACACGAACTCGATCCACCTGAAGTGACATACTGAGCAAAAACAGAGTAACTGAAAAGAGTGGCCAAAGAAAGCCACTGTAAAAAGGAAGCCATAAGAAATAATGGTTTCCACTGGCCATGCAGGGGGCACAGCAAATATGTTAAATGTAGTAGTCTGCTGCACATCACCATGAACACCCAGGTGAAACATCCCGTTGGCAGCATCATGCCATTGCGTATCTTTTCCTCTGGCAGCGAAAGACAAGCAGAGTTGATAGGAAGATTGATGGCGCTATATACAGGGCAATCCATCATGAAAACCCATTAGGGACAAAAGATTTTAGACGCCCGTGGACGTTCAGATTCCAACAGGTCAATGACCCTAAGCATAAAGTGAGAGCTACAATAAAATTAATCTGTGGCCAGACTTGTAAAGATCGCTGTTCAAACATCCTTTTTGTACCAATCTGACCAACCTTGAGCTGTTTAGAAGAATGTATCCATGCCACACTCTAAAATTTAATTAAAAAGAGAGAAAAAAAAACAACAAAAAAACATTGTCTTGTTTCCATAATCACAAATTTACACTATTTTCTGTTGGTCTATCACATTAACCCTCATCAAAATATATTTATATTTAAGCAGTTCAAGGCTTATGAATGGCACTGAATACAACATATAATCAAATTATTATTATTTTTTATATAATAACTTGCCTGAAACATTTGTTTCCATTCAGCAAAACAATTTCAATAACAGAAAGTACTACATATATATATAGTAGCATATAATACATTGCCATACAATTTGTGTTTGTGCATCCACAGTGGAAGCGGCTCAGGTTTTCTGATTCGGAGCAGAGAAAAGGGAAGCTCTGTGTGCTTGGCTCTGCAGCACTAACAGGGCTGGTGATACAATATCCATCTTGTTTAGTGGAGGATTACTTTGTTTAGGTTTGAGAAGACTGTGGTCCACAGGAGCAGCATCTGGCTCAGGAAGCAGGGGGGGCATTCGGGGTCAGAGGTCACAACACCAGTGAAACATCCATTTACATCTTGTTGGAGGCCTCAGAGTGAGGTATTGTTCTAAGGGGAGCACAGGCCTGTTTAAGTGTGGATTGAGATTTTTTTTTAGATTTCAATTTTCACATTTTTACAAGAACAGACGATCACCTCACCTCATTGATTCTTGT